ATTCTAAATAAATGTGCTTGAAAAGATTTTTGGTACAAATGATGTTTTAATCGAGATAATGCTTAATATAAAATCTTTCCTGTGACGAGAGCATTGTTGAAGATTATTTTATGGTAAAGATATGACATGATGGATATTAGATTTTGTCTCGTGCGGAAAACATTTTTAATTATTATTTCGATTAAATCTTATTTGCGCTAAAATTCTTTTAGATGTAATTTTTTAACAAAATTAAGTCCTTTTAGAATGTTATTTAAAACTTCTGCTTATTGATGAACATGGACTGTTGAACAACAGTATAATAATAGTACTTAGATATTCTAATACAATAGAGACTGAGAAAACATAAGAGAATAATTCGCCATCATTTTCTTAACAACATTTATGATTACGTCATTTCCTTTTTTCGAAAAAAAAAGAACTGCAATGATATTAATAAGTGATCTATACTTCTGAATATACCTTTAAGTAATTATGACAGAATAATTAGTTTATATTGTAACAAAATACTCAGTTCTTTGTTTATCTTTAAGATACGTGCATGCGCGTATACATATTTATTTATTCCATTATACTACATATCATGGATTTTTTATATATGTGTACACCTTAAATATATTTAAATGGATTTTTAATGTGTGTACACTCAAACACCACACCACACGCACACACACACACACACACACACACACACACACATACTCTTGAAGCAAAATATAGATAGGCTAATTTTAGAACGATAGTTTGCCTGCTGATTAACTATAAATATCGGGGGGTTTATTCAGATTTATTAAATAATTTCTCTTTTACATATTTTTGAATATATGTGTTGAAATATGTATTTTTTCAAAAATAGTATTTAAGGGAAATTAAAACATAAATGAAATAAAAACATTATTTTTTTCTATTTTAAAACCAGAACAAACAGAATATTTTTTTATTTATTACACTACAAATATATTTTTGGCATAATTTACAAAGTTGAATTCAAACGAATCCGTATCCAAACGCGAGGGTTAAAATACGGATAATAAAATATTCGAATTCAGATATTTATATTAATTAACACGCATTCTTTCTTTCTGTCTCCTAAGTTCGTAAATCATATTTATATTATAGTATTTACATGACGGAGATATGCTTTAAATATATACAATTCATACGTATGTGTTCATACGCGCACATGTAGCAGCACACACGATTCATATATGTTTCATTGTTAAAGGAAAAATATGACACTCGTATATTGGTATCCTATGTTCTGCAATGTAACAATACGCACAGTAAATATACTCTATAGCCCTAATTTTTATATACTTTAACGTTTTTTTTAATATTATTATTTTACTTTGATATAGTGTTTAAGTACACACGAATGATGAATGAAGATTATTATATGATAGAAAATACGCGATCCTCTGTTAAGTTTGTTTTTTTTATTTTCATTATATTAAACATTTCTGAGTTGTGATTAGATAAGAATTATATGCTTCATTGATAACTTATATATCTGTACGCACCTAAATTATCTTTTGCTGTTTACTCTTGAATGTTTGCTAATGATATAATAATAGAAAGAAAAGCGTAAACGCTTTACAAATAAAATTTACAGATCATTTTGTACACTAGTCAACTTGCTTTTATTAGACTGTTTAATTACAATTCCCTGTCTTCCTACATAATTCGTCACCGATTAAGCAATTACCATAATGATTATTTAATACAAACATTTATGAGTAAGCTATAAAAGTAATTTTAAACATGTAAATGATTAAATACGTGGATTGTACGTATAGGCGTAATAATATAATTCAATAATTGAATCTTAATTACATATCTCTTGGCGCACATCACATCTTCAGGCGGATCTAAGCGCATTCTTCCGTATTATTTGATAAGAAGATTGCCTGTAACATGTACATATATAGCAAACGGAAATTCTACGATTGGATTATATGTATGTACATATTCGTACAAATCTTTCATTATTGGATAAATAACCTGATAGACGAAAGCTTGAATCGTAAGCTTGATAGGAGAAGATTTTTATATCAAAGTAATTAATATTGTTAAATTTCTTTATCGCGCATTCCGAAATTATATACTCTCATCGTAATGAGATTGATAAAACATGTAAAAATGTATGTTTCTTACGAGAACATAAGCTTTCCAAGAAAGCGTACAGTTAAATAAGCACGCGTGATTTTTATGCTTGTATAATGTTTTCATCGATATCATACACTTCGCAATATTTGTAAATCGTATAAGATAAAACAAAAAACATCTGGAATTTTTTAAGCTGCGCTAGTTCGAGGGGCCTTGACTTAAAATATATCAGAATAAGGAGATCGAGAATAGTTCGTTTAACTTCGAATTATTATGAGTACTTGCATGTATTTTTTCCACCAAGTTTTTGCTATAGATGTTTTTTTTTTTTTAATTTATGTGTGCTCGTGATGACTGTGTACTATTTAAAAGATGAAATATACATTTACTGTATAAAGTAAAGTCTTTTCCTCTTTTAGGAAAACTTCCTTGATTTAAAAACTTCATTCGAAAAAATCGTAACGTACCTTTAATATTGAATATTACTAAGTATTAATAAACAATAAGGTATGCAAAATAATAAAAACATTTGTATAAAAAACAAAATTTGTGTATTAAATATGAAGTTTTTTATTTATTTAATGAGTATATTCTATCAAAGGAATATATAATTAGGAATTATAGCACGTTTAAAAATATGGAAAGGTTTTAGAAAAATAGTTTTGAGATGGAATTTGAGAATTACAAAAAATTTAAATTATCTAAAAAAATAAGGAAAATAATGAGAATATGATATATTCTAATAAATTACAAGGAAAAATATATAACAAACTGAAATGTATATAAACTGAAATAAATATACGTTAAAATGAAACTTTATTTTGTGAAAAACCCTAAACATTTGATTTAAATTTCATTTAAACCATTTGATCAAATGGTTCCAGATAAACCCGAGATCTTATTTTTCAACAACACATACATATAATATTTATTTTTTGTATAATGATACATTAAAACGAGAAAATTACATAACATTGTACATGGACACCAGTACGTATATATATGTACGATCATGCTATAAAAAATAAACCGATTAAAATGACTACTTTTTTAAATGTCTCTGACAAGATTAAATTTAAATTAATGTATATAAATTGTAATAAAATAAAATTAAGTATTTATATATTTAATTTAAAAGTATTAATTTTCATATTTATATTACTGGATATCTTATTTTGAAACGCAGCGATATAAGTTTTCAACTCTTAATTCTTTTAAAAATTTTTGTTTTTTCAGAACTTATTTTTGTACTTATATGTATTTTTTCGCTCGTCATATCGCTAGAAATAGTTTTAACAGCAGTAATATCTTATTATAATAACAGCAATTTACAACATTTTATTTTAACAGAAGTAGGATCTTTATTCTAGCCAATTCAATATACATAGGAACGTTAATCAATTATACTTTTTTTTTATTGTAAAACCCACGGTTATGACGTCAATCTCGAAAAATGTAAAGACATCACATTAACATTTACAACCCATTATAACATTGAAAAATTGCTGCAGGCGTACGATGCGCAATATCATAAAATTTAAGCAGAATCGTAAGGTTTTTTATAAAATATTTTAATTTTTTTTGGCTCAAATTACTCGTGGGAATGCCGCCTTTCAGGACATATATAACGTTCCATTCAAAATTTTTTATATTTTAGTATGCACCCCCAAAAATGGACTTTGGTGGCTCGGGATATAAGAGACTTTTGTAGTGTCTTTCAGTTTTTGAACATGGCCTGCACTACCGGCTCTCCTGATACATTTGGAAAAATAGCGAAAAAATTGTTTGAAAACAAAAATTATTATATTATATACTAAACCATTTTTAATATTTTATTATCTTGTTTTGAATTTGCCAATTGTGTATTAATTAAAAAAATGATGAAAATCAATTACTTTTCTATATGCTAAATTTGAAAATAAATACAATTTTAAGAATATTAAAATTAAATTTTTTTAATAAAAATAAATAAATAAGAAATACGTTCATACATTTCTCCTATTTATTTCTCCCCCCTCTCCGCTGTCAGGCGAATATCTTAGCTCAGCCACACACGTTCAAATAAATAAATTTGTCAAGCATGTTTGTAGAAGTATACTTGATACAAGTTTGAATGTATGTAACCGGCCTTCGATTTTAGATATGTTCGGACGGTAATCAAAGAAAAGTTAGCAAAACTAATTAAAAGTTATTAGAAAAATTTGCTATGATACTATCTGCTTGATTGTCATGTTATATAAATATAATTATAGATATTGCTCGAAAGGCAATAAGATTATCTTGAAATATCATTATATTGCACAAGTTAGAATGGTCAAGGAGACAACAAATTTAGATGAAAAGCAATTTGAACATACAGAATACAATTTTCTTAATATCACATATTATATTATATAAATTTTAGAATTTCTAAAACAGAATAAGATACTTTATTGTATAATATATGTATATAATAGAAAGAATGGATCACGTAATATTCAGGAGATTATTACTAGATAATCCACATATATTATCTCAATATAATTTCAAATTTAAATCATGTATTACTAAATAAATAAATCCGCAAAACTCTATATATAAAAAAATTATAACACAAATTATAAATGATGATAAATAAATTGTAGCATTTATTATAAATTATAAATATACAACAAAAAATAATTAATAATTAAAAAGCTTATATAATCTATATAAAGAAGAATAGGATTAAATTACATTTTTCAAAGATTTTGTTTAAATATGTATTTATTTCTTTATAAATCATATTATACATTAGACAGTAAAGATTAAAATTAGAAATTAAGTTATTACATTAATGTTAATCGTTGTTATAATACATGCAAAAATTTTCTCCAAAAGGGTCTTCTTTTATCTAATAACCAACTTTTATTTTATTAGAGATCTCGTTTCTTAATCCTAATCTTTAAAGGTTCAATAGTAGATAATGTTACGTCCGTTTTCAACTTCATATTACGTATTTGCATGGTTCGATCTACTTTGAATACGAATGTTCGTATTAAAGTGGCTAAGATAACTTTCATAGAAATCATCGCGTACTTTGTACCTGTAAGTTAGTTACGTGTAAGATAGAAAAAAATTACCTTTAAAAAATAATTATTTATTATTGCTAGTTATTTATTGTAAAAGTAAACGTTATTGTTATTCAAAACGTCTCGAGTTGTTATAATTTTGATTACTTTCTGCTAATTTCATTTTTTTTTGGAATTGCATTTATTTGTCTAATTGATCAGTTTAACATAGAAAAACTCTCTCTCTCTCTCTCTTTCTTTCATATCAATATATATATCTATCGCATTAATCGCAAATATAATCTTTTCTTGTTTATGCACGTTTTATACATATGTAATACGTGTACATAATAACGATAAAATTTATGTATATATAACTACTTATAACATTCGTTACTGTTATAAGAATTTAATTGTGTTATTATTACCATTAATAAAAAAATATAACGTCGTTCCCCCCCCCCCCTCCCAAATTTGTTACTAAATGATGATAAAATAATGCATTTTGCAACCTTGGTTATATATTAAATTCATTTTGTAACATTGTATTTATTTATGCTCACCTATACAATTCTTTGGTCCATCACTAAAAGGGATGTGATAATTTAAAGGACAATTCTTTATTCTTTCTGGCAGAAACCTATCTGGATCAAATTCTAACGGATTTGGCCAGTATTGCTCTTGTCGATTCATCAACATAAGTACTATTATAATATTAGTATTTTTCTGTAAAATGGAATCTCCTAAAGCGAATTTAAACATTATTACAATAGAAATGTATTAACAATATGTAATACAGTTCGCTTTATATTTTATTAAATACCAGCTTATTTATTAGCTTTATATTATTTATAATATCTCGAAACTGTATTTAAAATGATTTTAAATAAAAGAACAGAGACTATTAGCTATTAAAACATCAATAATCAATAATTAAGTTTACAGCAAAGAATTATGTTGGATCGGACTACGTGTGTTTTATAGATTTTTGAATGCTGAAAGTAATGTCGCAAATGAAAAAAATTCTGACGCGTCAAATTTCCAAGATAATTGTAACAGTATTAAATCTCAATTATCTTGGAAATCTGGCGTGCTAGAATTTTTTCGCTTGCGGCATCGTTTTTAACATTCAAAAATCTATGACACACGTAGTCCGGTCCAAAGTAATTGAAAAAAAATTTTTTGTAAACCAGTGTTATTTGCACCTATGATTGATGTTTTATTATCTATATTTCTAAATGTATTCATGTAATAAAATTATTTTAAGAATTATTGTTAATATTTTATTGTATTATAAAAATAAACACACCGATTTTTACATCTTCAGTTAGTCGTCGGCCAATTACAGGTATAGTAGGAAAAAGTCTCATCGTTTCCTCGATGACTCGGTCCAAATAAAGCATATGTTGTAAATCGTCACATTTAACTGGTGCAGATATTGGCGTTTCTGTACCATAAATTGTCAACAATTCTTTATATACTTTTTCCTTTATAAAATTAAATAAAATATTGTTTTATATTGATATATAATTTGACATTATATGTTATATTTTATATATTATAATTTATTATAAATAAATTTGCAAATTGATGTTTTGAGAATAATCATAGCGTTGATAATGATTTCGATTAATATATATATATATATATTTGTATATTGTAATTTTCTTTGAAGTAGAATATATTGCACTCGCGCGCGTACACTCATCGTTGACATATGTATACTTAAAGCGTTTAGAATAATAAGTTTTGTGGCTATCCATTATAAATTTAAAATATTTTACTAAACACTATACGAATAAAATTCAATTTATGTTTACAACAAAACCGTATATTCATAATTTAATCAAAACGATATTAGGAATTTTTATACAAATCATGTGAATTAAAAGGTAGTATATTATTACTATTATTATTATTAAAAATATATCTTTCAAAATTTAAAATTGTGTCATTTATAATTATGTAATAAATTTAATTGCTTTACATCAAATTTTGCATTGAATACATACTTGTACTTCTGGGAAATTTGCCAAAATAAAGACAACAAAATTAGTCGTAATAGAAATTTTATCACAGACCTGGTAAAAAAAAAAGAATTAAATTTTCTATTAGAATTAAATTGCCTATTTAAGAATAGGTCTACTGAATTAACATACCAGTGTGATCATTGTAATCACGTTATCAAGTATCATTTTCTGTGTAAAGTTTTTTTTACAAGATGCTTCCATCAGAACATTGAAAAACGTTTTATCTATATTAAATCAAGAAAAAGATTGTGGAAATAGTTAATCAATCTTGTGATGGTAAATATATCCTACACAGTTTCTATGTTAAAAAATTATTACTTGTATTAGTTTTCGTCTCAGTTTCATGCAGTTTACTTAATTCATGCAGTTGTTGCTGTATTATCTATATAAAAATTTTTGTAATAAAAAGTAAATAAAATTTATAAAAACTGATATTAAAAAATTTGTTCAATATATACCTCATTAATAAGAGAATGCATCAACTTTGAAATCTTTTGTTGTTCCCGTCCCAAAGTAGTAAAATTAAATATCTTCAAATAAATTTTTTCAAACAAAGAAACATCCAATGAAGATAACACCCTATATCTCAAAATTTCTTTCAATCTGAAACAAATTCTGTTTGTTATGTAAAATTCTATATACCTATAACATAATATAACATATGTTTTGTACGTATATGTGTGTGTATGTTACATTATACAATGAATATGTATACATATGTGCGTATAAAAAAAGTATTTCATCAATCGTGATTATTGAGTTTTATGATTGTATTAAAAAAAAGGAGATTATACCATATTTATGAATATTAATTTTTATAAAAGTTTAATTTTACAAAAAAGTCACAAGCCTCTTTAATTTATGTTAGTTGAAAGTAAGAAGAAAAAGTTAAGTTTCTATTTAAAAATATAGAACTTTTATTTGACTAAAATTATCTTTATAGGATATGTGCATCGGTTACAAAAATTTTAATGTGAGAAACAACATACCTCGCAACTGCTTTGAAATATTGATCTTTTTTATTTGATTCCATTTTGATGCCCACTATAGTGCCTTTAAATATAAAAAGAAAGCTTGTTATTCAAAATATTAATTTATAAACTCTCTAAAAGTGAATCAGTGTATTATCACTGACTTTAGTGCTATACTTATATAGAGATATACTTTTAACATCTTTAATAGTAATATACTTTTCAGAGAGAAAAGATAAATTATCATTATTATTATATATATATATAACCATAAATTATTATCATCACCAAGTAGATAAAAGTATAATTGAGAAAACAATAAAATTGTAATAAGTTATTGTTCGCATAAATTAATTTATCATTTAAATTGTTTGTTTTAACACATTACATTATAATTTTGACTATTACATCACGTATTAATATAAGTTTTTTATAACATTTTACAAATAAAATGCCTGAAACTGCCTAATAAACTTAGCAATTCAAATAATCATTAATAAGATACACACAATGAACTTTTCATACAGGTAATGATTACAAATAATCCAAGTAGAGCTTGTAGTTTTATTTTTGTAAAATTTGCATAATTTTAAATAAGTATTATCTGAAATTTTTAAGTTGCTGGTATTTATATAGTTGTATAATTGATAAAATAAATTAGCATTTATCATTAATTTGTCATAAAACTTTCAATTTTTTCTCAAATTTTTATAGTGTCAATTGTTCGTTCGAAAACTAAATCTGATGAAGCGGGAGTGAGAACAAACATGAATGACGTGCTTCTCATGAATGGATTTTTACAAGTAGGTAATTTAGAAGTAAAACAAATTGCATGTTCTTACTACATGCAATGTCCAAAGTACACGTTGTTATATGTTCAAGAAAGATAATCTCGTTTCCATTTATTTCAACTTTTTCTAATTTCTTCATCAACATTAATGATTCTTCAACGAATGTATTAAAAAATCCTTGCAACATGTTTATACTAAAGCTTGAAGTTATTCTTTTTCGATTTTCATTCCATATAGATTCTGAAATGAAAAGTATATTTCTAATTATAGTTTGCTTTTACTTCCTTAAAAAATTTTAGTAGTTTCAATCTTTTAAATATACTTTACCAGGAGCTGTTAATAATTTTGTATCAAATACTTCTTCTGCTAATTTATAGAATAATATATTTTTATCTAAGCAATGTCTGCTTTTTAGAACAGTCTGCAACGTTATATGTATATTATTAACATTTTTGTTATATATATATATATATATATTGCTTATATACCTTTGTTAATTAAATAATTAAAATATGTGTTAATAAAACAAAAACGTTATATTCATTTACCTTTACTTGATTTGGTTCAAATATTATAACAAATGGCTCGTTCAACCATAATTGGAATGGGGATGGAAAATACTTTCCAAGTGTACATAAAATATTTAGTAAATCTAAAAATTGGTTATATCTTTTTGTATTTTTTTATATCTTTAAAATAAATTTTTATAATGTCATTTGTCTATACATATGTATATCTAGGACACACTTGAGTGCATCCAACCGTAAATTCGTTATGATATTTCAATTATATTCTCTCTGACATTATTATTACAATCAGTATTATTCGTTGTGTGTTTAACTTTATCAAATTTTTGCAAATAATAAAAGGTATTCATAATTTTCATGAAAAAAATTAATATTATATTGGGAGTACAAATTATAAATTTGTAAATAAAAAAATTACATGACAGATTCAGGAATGATATTGGAAATGAGTTTAGTAATGTCGAAAATATGTTATTTCTAATATGTTGCAAATGACAGTAAACATATTTAAGTTCTAATCGCAATATTGTTTTTACATTGTTAAATTGTATGGAAGTTAATTGCTTATAATAATTATTATTGTGTAAATAAATATTTTTATGATTTAAACATGTATATAAATGTAGAGAGAATGTTTAAGACAAAATTTAATAAATTTGATACGGACTTTACTGTTAACATTGTATTTAACAGAATTACATAATCTTTTGAATAAATTGTAAACATTATTATCAAAAAAGTTTCTAATATAAGAGAAAATAAAATTCGTGGAATTAATCATCGCTTATAGTCTCACCCGTGTATATTAAAAAACAGTATTTTATTACAAATTGTAATGTTTTAAACATTCTTTTTCTTTCTACCGTATGCTAATTTAAATTACTTTTTCTTACCATCAGGAATTCCACGAAGATACTTTGTCATATATTTTTTCGGACCTGGCAGAACCATTCCTTTTCTAATTACGTTTATTTGACAACAATAATTCCAAATGTAATAACTTATAATAAAACATGCCAAAGTTATTAATACAATACTCAGAGATGTCATAATACTGAGCAGTAATAATAAAATAAAAATAATAAAATACTGACAATTCTACATTAACGTCACTATCCAAATGCAGTTTTCACCGACTCATTGACGCTTTTATCATGCCATCCCCACTTAAACATCTAACGCTTATTGTTAGTCCACTTAATGTATTTGCGTTGTTTAAAAATAAATATTCAGATTTCAAAAATTAAAAGATAAAAAAGAGATTTTGAAGAAGAATTTCTATAGGAATTATTATTTTCAATCTTTTAATTTTTAAATCCATACATTTTCCTTCATGATTATGTATAGATATGATTGCGAAAATCATTCGGTGTACATTGAATCATTATTTATTACTTTTAAAACAATAATAACTATAAATAAAAGATTCGTATTGTAGTTATAGAAATTGCGCGAATTGTAATCAAATATATTTGCATTTGGTATTAGAGTAACTGTATTAATTAATAGTAAAATTTTAATGTTATAACTCTTTTAGAAAAAAATTTACAAAAGAATTTATGATTTATTAAGATAATATAATTTTTTTCTATATGTAAACAACTTTATTGGTATAAAATAATAATAATTTAATTTTCTTAAATGTTTTTTTAATTAATATATAAAGTGCAAAGAATAATACATCTGGTATGATATGTACTTTTATAAAAACAGTATATATATATATTTTTTTTATTAATAAAGCATTAGCAAATATTTATTGACAATAAATTATTGTTAATGTAAATTAGTCTTACATTATATGTTACTACGTATGAAATAAGCTATGTTTCAATATACTGTCATGATATTGAAAATCTAGATTACGTTACTACATGTACCGTAAATTTTCACTACTAGCAGTGTATATATGACTAGTTGCATTATCATTGCATGCGGTTATTTGTACGGAAAGGTCACAGTGTACCTAGTGAATTCCTTGTTTCGCGTTACATTATAATCATTCGTTATCATTCTTTGAACAATTAGAGATAACACAGTCCAACTAAATTTGATCTTTTTTTTTGCAACAAAATAGTTATGTGTGTGACGTATTTTTACCCGTTAAACATAAATTTATTAACAAAATGTATATTTATTATATTTTTTTAATAATAATTTATTGCATTTAACTGAAAATATTAGACATCTTATAATATAATCATTATAACATTATTATATATACATAAATGTCATAAATCAATTTTTGAACTAAAACTTTAAATAATTGATTAATAAAGTATCTAATATTTTTAACATATTGTACTTATATAGTATTGTATAAAAAAGAAACATTTAAAATTTATGAAACAGAACAAGATGCATATTATTACAACACATGTATATGTAATTATATAATTGAAATATGTATATTAATTTAAATTTAACACATCGAGAGGGAAATGACAGAGAGATTTAAAAACACAGGTTATGTTAATACCGATTGCATAAAATGCACTGATACAACACTGTTGTTTCCAACATGCTGGCATCATCAGCTTTGATTTACATTTTTTTACATTAAAAAAACTACAATCAAATAATATTCTTCAAATTTCAGTAATCTAAAATATCGACGGATGTTACGTGTAGAAATGCTCTTTCTGCTACCAGATGGCGACACGCGTGCCACGGGCGCGCGGTGCGCCTCTGGAAAATGGCGGTATCTGTCGCGGCGGTGCCAAAGCACACTTTTTCGCTCGCGATAGTTGGCCGATAGATCGTCTCGGAGTGGTACAGACAGAACGATCGGCTCGCTGCCGATTCGAATGAGCGAGCGGTGCAGCGTCCCGATCGGGCAGAAAGGAAGAGCGACAACAAACGAAGGACGAAGCGAAGGCGGATTGACGATCGGACGCCGAGAACGTCTTCGAGAGCGGGTGAGTAAATCCGATCATCTCCATATCATTCGCGCGTACCGGGCTAATTCCGGCAGATGCGATTCTTCGCCGCCGCGCCGGCTGGATGTTTCCGCCCTGCCTGCGGCGTGGACCATCCTCGCGTCGCGAGCACTTGACGTTCGGCGAAATTCAGGCCAATTCAGGCCGAAATTTCGTTTGATGCCCATTTCTACCAATGTAATTTTAATTATTAGTTGTACACACCATTTCTATCCAGTTTTAGCTTATATTGACTTGCATTATTGACTTATTTTGATTTTCTTAAGCCTTATTATTTGATACAGATATTGTTTGATTTTAATCATGGTTTTTATCTAATTCTCTCTCTATGTTTTCCTATTTCGAAAAATAAAAAAAAAAATGAAGAGTCACTTGAACTAGTTAAGGTCTACATTGGCAGACACAGGCATAAATCTTAGATGTCGATGTTGTTTGAATATTTCTTTTTTTTCGCTGTTCTTTTTTCGATATCTGTACGCAATTTTGTTGATGTAATTTTGACGGTTTCCTAAACCATCAGATGAATATCTGCGCGTATGAGCCACGGATTGTCTCTCGCTTTCATGTATATATCTATATGAACAGAACTGTTGATCGAATCCTGGTAAGTCGTTTAATAAATTTAATAAATTAACTCCCCCACGTGCAATGCGCGCCACGTGCGACGCGTGTGGTACATGTGATAACACTATTTAATTGCAGACTTGAAATCGGGAATTAAATCAGTGTTGATTAACGGAGAGAGCTGGAGAGCGCTGGAGAGCGCTCGGTGCATATTTTTGCGGAAATATAATAATTCACTATTTAATTAAGCCTCGATTTCGTTCAAATTAACGTGTTTACTTCACGAGGGAGGGAGGAGTACAGGTAAATATGGCGAAATGACTTAGTGATTAATATTTCAGAAAGCATCAATTTTAAGTAGCATAACAAACAGCATTAACATAAATAGCGTTTGCGAAAATTTTACCGGCAATGCGATTAACAGAAGCGAGAGAGAGACAGAGAGCAGATCCTTGAAGTCTCGTGTCGTAATTGCAAGATTTTCATCAGCGAATGCAAACGCGGGCATATTAAATTATATACGAAAGCGTTTCTCCGGTACGATGCTGTTTTACTGGTTAAATTTTTATCATCACGTAGTCGTCGTTGAGGAGGTTGTCGTCTGCTAAGCGAGAATGCACTGTACTTGGTGTAATGAAGGGCGACGCGACACGGTGAATGCGAAGGGATTTCAAAGACGCCTCGAATGAAATCTGCGATAGATTTGTCAAAAAAGAGAAATGTGACTGTCGGTTTAACGAACGTTATTCTTGAAATTAAAAGAGAGAAGAAAGAAGATCTTGATCATCATTTATAATAGATATCGTCCTCGATAATACTTAAATATTAATTGCCGATTTGTAGCCTGCCTAGTAAATCAATCAATTTCTGTGAGACGATTATCGCGAAACGCGCGAGAAATCCCGTTTCAAAATGCGGTCAAGAAACGTTCAATTGATTCTCGCCTTGCCGTATTCATGTTGCGGATAATGTAATTTAATTAGTAACAAAGCGAGAAGCTATATTTCGACAAGTCGTAATAGACTCTTGCTTATAATTAGCGAAAATTGAAGTACGGCTTTAATTATGACGTTACTGATTGAATATTCACGGATCTGCTAAATTAAGCTCTTGATGGTTTGAATTGGTTATAAGACATGACGTTTCGGAGTGTTTTAAATAAATATTACTTTGATGAAAATTTTGATGTGATTTAATCAACTTAGTTAAGAAGGAAATTTAATTATATTGAAGATTATTAATTGTTTGAAAAAAATATATATATTTAATTATAATATTATTACATATTATATACTTAATTATATATGTATATACATTATGAATATTTAATGCGAAAAGGATGAACAACATTTTTAGTTTGACGTAGAACGAAAAAAAAACTATTCAGATATTTCTGAAATCGATTTTAGTTATCAACGCAAATGCAATTCTATTATTGCCACTTTTTATAGACCGCATTTTGTTGCTGCAAATGGTGATTAACGCTAATGCACGAGCGAGTACGATTCGTTAAAATTGCACGTAACGTGACGCAGCAACTATCGCCGCGTCCATTTGCTGCGGTATATGCTCCTATAAAAATCAAATCGCCTTATCTCTGCATCTGTATTTTTTAATAAATAGACATCATTAACATTCAATTAGTGAATTCCGATTAACGCTTGTTATACGATATCGACGCTTGAATAATGCTCTTTTTCTCACTTGTTGTTCGACGAACAAAGTTATCCGCCAGTTTTACTTGTATTGTGTGTACACTGAAAATAAATATTTAGTGAAATAATTTTTGGTTATATTAACCAGACATTTAATTGGCATTATTTTACTAAATATTTTCTACCTATTGCTAATTTTTTTTTCTTTAATATACTTGTTTGGCGCAAACTCCTTTATGATAATAGAAGCCAATATAAGTTCTTAAAAAGTACTCGACGTCTAAAAGTATTTTAGTGTTATATACTTATATATTTCTTTTTAAAAGGTGACGGAATTGTTGTCTATAGAATGAGTAAGAATATAATACTTGAAGTAGCAAGAAATATCGGTCTACTTGTGCTAAAGTTAGCAAGCGAAGAGCTATAGAGAAAACGATAAATACGTATCGATTTACTAAAGTAAAAGAAACTAGGCGCGAAGGGGGGTTTTTGAGATATTCGGTGGCCGGAAGCTATGGCCGGATGTACGTGAGTTAAATACAGAAACCATCCGTTTTTTTCAGTGGACACGCATCGTTATATTATTCTGTCAATATTAAAAAGGTGGGAAGGGGACCACAGCTAGAAATCGAGATATCATTGTTGAATAAACTTGCAAGTATTCTAGAACTACTTATACAAAAATATATTTTTTGAAGAAAATTTTACTCGAAATGTATAGTACACGCACTCTTTAAATTCTTTGAAGTGGAATCTCACTCTAAAG